TATTTAACAATGCAAAGGCGGCAGCCTCGTTTTGGATCTTAGCGTCCAACGATATATCACATTTCCGGACTCCAAGACCCTACATTTTAAAGAGCGCCATCTACGTTCGAAGTTGGAAATTGTTGAAATTTGAAAGAAAAGATGTATTCTAAGGTAATTTCCTTAATTTCCAAAAATCAAAAGTTTACTGGCTAAAATGCTTTAAAGAATATTTTTTCATTATTATTTTTTAGTTTTTACTGTTGCCATCAACACTTGCATTTTAACGAGGTTCCCCCTTCCGAAATCGTGAAGGTAAGCCAAAAAATACTTGCAATTAAAACCCTCCAACTTTAAGCAGCAAACTATCAAACAAGGAAGCATATTCTTAGAAACTGCGGTGAAAATTCCAGTGAAACATCCAAGTCAAAAGGTATAAATTTGTTTATATCAATCTTTAGACATCAAAATAATAATTAAAAAATGAAATCAGTGGCTTTCGAGGCATGAGCGAAAGTCCAAGACTGTTGACCAATGATGTACTCACTCATCCCTCTGATTATAATGATAAAAATTCAGTTGTTCTAATTCCAACCATTTAGCATCTTTAACTTAGTCTCGGTTGGAAGTTGCATCTGCAGGTATTTTTGCTAAATTTGAGAGCATGCAGGGCATTGCTGTCGCCATTTTTTTAATGCTTTCCCAAAACCACTTTCTTGTTAATGTCAAATGTCTACAGGAATCAAAACGTAACAAGGTCTTCACACAGAATTGAAAATACTTTTCAATTTTTGTTCACGAAGAGGTTGCAATAATTAACTTTCAAGACATATCAAAATAATCATGTGTCAGGAGGTAGTGTTTTTCCTAAATTGAATACAAAATGTGACAAAAATCAGACAAGCAAATAAAGAAGCAATGGACGTGAACTAGATCCCTTTCACTTATTTTATTTTTGAACTGATATTGATCAAATTTAAAAAGTAAAAACCGTAATAGTGGCTATAAGTGTCAAATCATTCAACCGTCACAAGTTTCATGATGGATTGCCGATATAAGCTTACCAAATCAGAGAGAGTTTGTTTGCCAACATCCGATACTGAGGGATGAAATACAGGAAACTTATGCAAAATATGCAATGATGTAATTACTGTACCTACTATGTAATGAAAGGCATTCGTTGAGCTCAGGAAAAATGCCGATGAACATTCATGTGCCGCCATCTTTTCGTGCACAGCTACAGCGATATTGGTGCATGCAAGCTACTTTAAGAGCCATTTACACAATTACTCTTGAAAGATCATGTGTGGTTTACTTTCGTGCATGTTTGATTAATTCATTGTTTTTAGCTGGCATTGTGAATGGACTGATGCCAATCAGCTCTCAATTATGAATCTGCTTGAAATTTGGTTAGTTTACCTGTGCAGGAAATAAATCTTGGCCCAAATTTTAAAAAATGCAAGTTTCAGCTGATAAGTATTCAAAGAACTTTACCAAAACCAAGTTGGTGTCCTGAAATTTCAGTTTTAGGTTTAATAATGAGAAAATTGTTCTCTTCTTTTCCATCTTAAGTGAGTTCAAGTCCTTCCCTAACTCCTCTGGACATCGGTGTGATTGACTCCTGCCTTCAGCGAGGGGGATCAACTGATGTACACGTAT